CCTTCGTTCTACTGCTATGATTTATGCAGAAAACTTATAGGAAAGGAGAAGATGTTGCTTGGATTTAGAGAGGCAAAATGAGGCAGGGAAAGCAAGCTACTGAAACAAAGGCATTGCAAGGAAGGCACAATTTAGCAAGAACAGGTTAATGAAATAAAATTGTGTCTGAGAATTTGGCTGGAGGTGCAGAGCCTGGCAATGAATTTCAATAATTCCCGAGTCAGACCTGAGCAATCCTGTTAGGTATTGCGAAATATTCCGTAGTCAGATTCTTACAGCCAGTGCTGATTTAAAAGGTCAGAGATATATGGTCTGGTTTATCCTCCTGTGTACTAAGGGTCATAAATACACAATTATAGTTCGTATAATACTTCCAGCCCAGTCAGAGAAACAGCTGATGAATGCCTAGGAAGCCAACTGGAATGCTGCTCTCCAAGGATGCTTTCTGTATTGGCATGCCTGTTAACAGCTGGGAACTATTCAGCATGACAAGCACCTGACTCCAAGCTCACCATCTTCAGGGGCAAAAACAGATAGATTTCCTGCATATGCCAAACAATTCCTTTGGGGATTTCTCCTCCCCAGGCTTGTATTTTCTCATCACTATACAGCAGAACAATTACGTTGTGCAATTGACACTAACCATCTGACTTGACAGAGGCCTCTTCTCACAAAGACTGTTTCCATCTTTAAAAAAAAAAACCCTTCATTATACAGTATTTACAACAGAGGAGATGTTAATGCAGTGAATTCCACAGTGATGATAGTAACATTCATGAATATGTGTGATGTTTATATATTGTAATATCACATCCTCCCGACCTTGGTCAGTCGTATTTAACAAGAGAAAGCTCAAATAAATTTCAATCTGCAAATATTTTTCTGTAACGAGTAGACTATCGAGAAGAAAAATAAATACAGATGGTATTCTTTCGCAGATATTGTATCTCTTCCTACGTTGAAGAACAGCAGGCAACATGCTTCATCAATTTGGTGGTTTCTAACTGGGCTACATCTCATGATGAGCATTTTTTATTTATCACCATGTCAGCTGCTTTGACCATTAGGCACATTGAAACTTCTCATTACCCAAAAGCATCATGGCCTTTCTGAATGTGGGTGAGGAACACACCTGAAGAGCATTTGCTGGGCTTCAGCTTTTTATAAAGGTTTTTGAAGGGTCCTTGGTGCTCTCTGAGCCTGGTTATTAGGTTGCAGACATTTCAGGGGTGGGTTCTACTTACCTTTACTACTGGTTTGCAACGGGAGCATCTGCGCATGCGCAGATCATCCATGATGACGTCCGGGAGAGTGGGCGGAGCCTCCCGCCGCTTTTACTACCGGTTCACAAGAACCAGACCGAACTGGGAGCAACCCACCATTGAGAGATTTCATTACCAAACTAGGTAATTTCATCTAATAACTAGTGATTATAAGTAATGATTTTGTCTAGTTTGGGGTATGAAAATTGGCAAGCAAACAACAAAACTCAGAGAGCACCAAGGACTCATTTCAACTCTGAACTACAAATACTCTCCTTTATTGGTAAAAAGGGCTTTTAGTCAGTATTTCTAGTTTCTCTTTTTATAAAACCCTGTGTGCTCTTCTTTCATCTTTCTCCCCACATTTCTTTTCCTGACTTTCCCCCACAGTGTTCCAAGACCTCAAATCTACTCCAGCTTTCAGCAGCCACAGATAAGACTCATTCTGCAACTGTCAGGGAGTTCTCCTTTGTCACACAATTGACTGCTTTATAGAGCATTCATCCTTTAGCCTTTTTATCAGCCTTAAAAAATCCTTCTGTCTTCACTCCCAGATAATGGCAACTCCTTCCAGCCTTTCAGATGGAGGACCCAGCTTTCCTAGCAAGAAAAAATTCTTGGGAAGCTGTCAGAGAGTAAAAAAAAGATGGCCCCTCCTAAGCATAGGTGTTAATTTTCCAGGTTTAAACCCCATCCTTTTTACCAGCCATATTGCTGCTGAGACAAGGTGGATGTAACAAATACTATCTTTCTAGCCGTCCCCTTCTTGTTCCTAACCAAAGTAGAAAACTGAACCAAGATTGTTTATACTGTATCCAATTTCCCTGACATGAAGCCATTTGCTTCTTGACAAATTCAGTATATATCAAGAGTGGAAACTTTTGTAGCAATTGATTTAGAGAAATCCTCCTTTATAATTCCTCTCCCCTGGCCCCCCACTTCTGTCCCTGAAACTTGTGAAGTTTGTGAAATTGAAAAAGATTAATTTTGTCATCTTGCAGTACTTTCTTAGGTCTTACTCAGATGATGTTAGAACACCATTTGCAGGCCCTACACCTTCCCTGAAACTAGAGTTCTTGGAGTTCTGTTACAACTGAGTTGGAGTTCTCTTACAACGAAGCTCAGAGAACACCAAGGACTTCACAGTTCTTGGAGTTTATGCCAAGTATGAAAATTCTCAGATTTTGTGGTTCTCAGTTTCAGAAGTGTGTGCTTTTTTTAAACTAAGAAAGATGTTTAATGAGTAAGAATAACACATTACAAGATTATATTGCTTTTTAAAAAATACATTTTTTTAAAAAAAAATGGGATTTAGCAGATTTTCTGAGATACTAGTTGAATCTATTACTGTTGTCTGGCATGAACTGATTTATATAAGAAATGTATTTGTCATTTGACTTGCACTAGAAAATTAACAATGCGGCCTCTCTTCATTTTATAACACAAAAAATTAGCAAAAATTATATGCATGTGTGAATATCTTTCTATGCAAAACAGGACCACAAGAAAAGGTTATAATTTGGATAGTTTCTATTGAGCATTCCAGTCTCCAGCCCTGCCCTTCTCTGTTCCAGTTCTTTTCCCACCTACTTTTTATTCTTTCCAACCCAAAAGAATGTTGGAAAAAATATGTAAAGGGGCTCAGGACTGCCTGCCCATCTGTGGGTCAACATGGTAATGCTAAAACAACAACAACTAAGCAGAATAGGATTAAATTTGATGTAGCTGGAGAAGTCAATAAAAGATAGACTAAGCTTGAAAAATCAGCCATATCTGGCAACGTGGCTATGGAGAAAAAAAATTGATTGATGTACATACATTGGGCGGGGCTTTGATGGCTGCCATTTTGGTCCACTTGGCTCCCTTTTTGCAGATGGTTCTGTGGAGCAGAGCAGAGGGCAGAAGTTCTTGAATGTGGCTGATTGCTCCATTCTAAGACCCTTCTCTCCCCTTTTCTGGCCTTGTGATCTGGAGGAAATTTCCCCTTTAGTGGTCCCCCCCCCTTTGTAGTTTTACAACCTTTGAGTTTTGGGATTTTGAGAGGGCTCCATAAAGATTCCTACTCACCTGAATTAGACAAAAATAGAGGGAACAATACAAGTTTGCAGTTTAATGAAGTTCTAAAGTTTCTCATCCTGAGAAAATCACAATCACAATTTAAAGCAAAGAAGAGTAGAGAGATCCTGGAGTAAACAGAATATATATATTTAAAGATATACATTCTTAGGTTGAGTAAGATTTTGGAGTACAACTAAGCATTTCTGCCAAAATCTTCATGGAAAAGAGGAATTTTGTAAAGGCATTTAGGGAAAACAAGGCACTGATATGCCACAAGGAAGAGGGGGGCAATTTATTCTCCAAAGCACCTGAAGGCAGGACAAAAAGCAATGGATGGAAACTAATCAAGGAGAGAACCAACCTAGAACGCAGGAGAAATTTCCTGACAGTTAGAAGAGTTAATCAGTAGAATGACTTGGCTCCAGAAACCATGGATGCTCCAACACTGGAGATTTTTAAGAACAGATTGGACAACAATTTGAAACGGTAGAGGGCCAGGATGGTGAACCTATGGCATGCGTGCCACAGGTGGCATGTGGAGCCATATCTGTGGGCACGCAAGTGTTGCCCTAGCTCAGGTCCAGCGCACATGAGTGCGCCGGCCAGCTGATTTTCCGGCCTTCCTGGCCCACCGGATGTCAGGAAACAGGATATTTCTGGCCTCTGGAGAGTCTGGGGGGGGGGGAGGGCATTTTTGCCCTCGCCAGGCTCCAAGAAAGCCTCTGGAACTTGGGGAGGTGAAAAATGGGCCTACCAGGCCCAACAATAACCTTTTTGCCATCGCGTGCAAAAGCGGGGGGAGGGTGGGGGTTGTGTGTGCATGTGTGGGGGGTTGGGGCATGGAGGGCATTGAATTATGGGTGTAGGCACATGTGCGCATGAGCCCCCTGCTCCCCCCTCTTTTGGCATGCGATGGCAAAAGGGTTAGCCATCACTGGTATAGGGTTTCCTGCTTGAGCAGAAGGTTGGACTAGAAGACTTCCAAGATCCCTTCCAACTCTGTTATTTGGTTATATCTTCATATCAGCTTTTGCATTCAGTATGAATTCAGTAAACTAGTTCTTATGATTTGATTATGAGTCTGTTATTCAACTGCAATTGGCTACAGTCATATAGCACACCAAGCTATAACTATGGTTTACAAACTACAGTAGGTGGGCTTATAAAACACACTAAGCCAAAAATCAAGCAAAACACATTATGCCTTTGTCTGATCTGCAGACCTGCTAATTAGTCAGTAGGTTGCTTGCCATGTTGTGCAAATGCACTGCAAACCCCTTTCTATGGTTAATATATAAATCACTGAGCCATGTAAAGAAAGAAAATTGGGGGGAATTATACTATGATTCAATTGACTATGATAAGTGGTAGGGAGATAATATTGGTTTAAATGTTGCCTCCAAAGATCCTATAGAGTAACTTTTTGTGTCTATCTAAATATTCAGCAACTGACCCATATACTATATTTGCAAAAAAACCATGAGAAAATTCTGTTGGAAAGAATGAGACTTTAATTGCAGCAAATTCTCGGCCACTTGTTTTAACTCACTTGTTGCTACTCCCATTTGTTGAATTGTGCCAAGCAATGACTTACCCAAGCTATGTGGTACAGAGAGCATCTTCTATTTCAACTTATTTGTCCTAACTTTTTTGTTTTGTCATTTTATTCCTGTCTCTTAGATCTCCTGGCCACTAACCGCTCAGTCCTGTTTCTTGGTCACCGGGGAAGTTTAGACTTTCGCTCCCTGTACCTAGATGAATACCGTGATCGCCTATTCATTGGAGGAAAGGACACCCTTTACTCGCTTCGGCTAGACCAAACCAATATGGATGTTAAGGAGGTAATGCTCTTAAAATGGATTGTTTACAGTCAGGTATTTGTAATAGTACTGATTATTTACATAGAAAAAATTAAAATGGCTCCCCATAGACATTCTTCATGGTGGCTTTTGAAAGGAGAACAATCTATTGCTTCTCATAGAACGTAACATGAGAGAAGCCAGAGACTATGGCTTATGTATGACCATCAAATGACCTCAGTACTCAGCTGAGATTGGAACTAAAATTTCACTGTTCATGCTATAATTTAGGAATGTATTTATCATATGGTTTTATTAGTGATTAGCATCTAACTGACCTTGTCTGTACTCCAAGCTAAGCAGGCTCAAGCCTGGGTAGTAACAATAGAACTTAAGACATATACCGCTTCACAGTGCTTTACATCCCCCTCTAAGCAATTTACAGAGTCAGCCTATTGTCCCCAACAACCTGGGTCCTTATTTTACCGACCTCAGAAGGATGGAAGGCTGAGTCAATCTTGAGCTGATGAGACTCGAACTGCCAAACTGTAGTCAGCCGGCAGTCAGCAGAAGTCGCCTGCAGTACTGCATTCTAACCACTGCGCCACCACAGTTTTACCTGGTGAATGGAAAGCTACGATTGAAACCTAGACTGGGAAACCTAGACAAGCTCAGCAAAGTCAAAGGAAACTTCAGTTTGAATAATCTTGTAAGAATCTGACTAGTTGGAGACCTACTGTGGAGAAAAAGATGACCTTTTGGCAGTAGGGATAAATAGGGCTAAGGTAGAAGAGAAGAAGACTTCAAATCCTAGGTTTTAGGCAGAAGGACTGGAAACAGCCATCTGTGTCATTAATGGGAACTTTTTTTGCAAATTGTTGATATACTAAGAGTTTGCTTTTATACTTTTGTTTATTAATCTTAGTTCTATATTTCCCTCTTGCTGGCCAGTTTAAATATTATTGGGAAAACTTGCCATAAAATGTATACTTAACATTAGTCTTCCACATGGTAATAGTCAAGTGCCTCTACAAGCACATTGAGTTGTGTTTGTTTTTATATTTTTATTAAAGAAATGTTTAACATGATAAAAACAATATAAATTTTAGAAAAGAAATAATGAATAGATAAGAAAGAAAATTAAAAAAAGAATGCAGAAAATAATGAAAAAGCAAACACTACAAAAAATGGCTCCCAGTCTTCTTAGCAGTTATTATAGATGCTTTTATAATTTGTCCTCTCTCTCTAAATTTATAGCATAATTTCCTGCTTAACAAAGTCTACCCTTTCTAATCAAAAGTTAATTTCCCTCTTCTTTTGCAAAAAGTCCATAAGGGGTTTCCAATCATGAAAGATGATTATTTGTCTTTTCCTAATCAAACAGGTCAATTTTGTCTTCCATTTTAATTCTGTTATTTTTAGCAATCATTCCTCCATTGTGGATATTTCAGAGTCTTGCATATTGACTTTTATTTGTCTCTGTGTGTGGTTTTAAATGTGCTCATTGAGTGTTGCTCTAGCATGACCAAGCACTTTTCAGTAGTTTTAGATCAGGATATTAAATCATCCCTAGAGGAGATTTTCTTCCATAGAAGTCGACACTTGAGATGGACAGAAGGAGCTCTGCAAAGTCAGACTTAAGTTCTGGTAGAGTTAAGAGCAGAGCGAACTTTATTAAATAGAAGCCAGAAATGTGACACCAGATTGGATAGATGGATGAGGGTTTTGCAAAACATACAGCCTTCAAGAGATTATATTGCAATTAAAATAATTGAAAGCATGGGAAGCTGAGACACAATCAGGTTTTGAGTAATTTATAGAAGTTTACAAAAGGATTTCTGCTATACATGTTAAATGAGTAAATCAACTGCTAGGTCAACCTTAGTATAAATTGAGATAGGAAATGAGATCTGACGGGCTAGGAATTTTTAGTACAAGTACTATGCAAACTTCTTAATGGTAATTGTTCTGTTTCTTTATTCATTAATTCTGTGAGATAGGCCATTAACACTTTCATAAGCCTATAAAGAAAAAAATCAAGACTATCTAGAGGGAATCTGGCCAATGAGAAATTAAATCCAGAATTTTTTGCTCTTTTGGTCCAGCCAACATTGTTTTCTCTAAATCATGCATGTTGAAGAGAATTGCTTGATCCCATTTGTGCAAAGATGTATATTCAGTGGAAGCTATTTGCAAATGCATAAAGCTGCAACTTCAAGGTAAATTATGGACTGTGTCCCATTTGTTCTTTGTGGGATCACTGCAAATGCACAGAACTAAATATATTCTATGACTAATGTAACAGGTTTAGTCAAGATAGAGTTTCCCATTGAAGCTTGTCTTCTTTGTATCATTGGTCTCTGCCTGGCCCACATGAGTCACAACAAACTTTTCCTCCAGTCCATGTAAAGATGTAATATAAAGTTATTCTGCCTAAATCTGGTTTTAGTGAATCAGTCAATAAAAGAAAAATGATTTCATTAATCTGAAGAATATAATAGCTGCAGTGACAACAGAAGAAACCTAATTATATCTATATGTACTGAACCTAGACTGAAGAGATTCATGTGTGTGGATGTTTGGGAGAAGAGGGAATGCAATAGATAATCTCTGAGTGTGCAGCTATATATGTCTTGGAATTAGTTCTGCTTTCTTTAATCTGGTTCCATCCAGTGGTGGGTTGCTACTGGTTGGCTCCAAATTGGGTAAACTGGTAGTGGCAACAGTGGGAGGCTCCACCTACCTGCCTGGACATCTCTGCGCATGCGCAGAAACTTCTGAGCATGTGCAGAAATGCCGCACACGTACATAAGCACCTGCACGCCCGTGCGCGCACAGGTAGCAACCGAAATTGAAACCCACTACTGGTTCCATCTAGATGTTTTTGGTTTTAATTCTCATAATCACTAGCCAGTGTCATCATTAGCCATGCTAGATGGAAGGTTATAGAGGTTGGTCTACTGCAAGGCTGTCAAACTCACGTCATCATGGCGGTGTCACGTGATGTATTGGGACTTTTTTTCCCCTTCGCTAAATTGGGCGTGGGAGTGGCCAGTGTGTGACACATCTGCCCCATGGGCCAGGAGTTTGACAGCCCTGGTCTACTGTAAAGAGGAAGTCTTCATTAACAGCTTTGAAAAAAGTAGGAATCCAGCATGTAGGGAATAAAGATTCATAACCTATAGTTGCATTTGATCAGATACTATTTTGACTTTCCGCTAAATGGCCCAGCCAGGGATGTGTTTGTCTTCTCTTCAGTTTTTATATGTAAAGAAAGGACATCTAAAACAACTTAGGTTTTGAAGCAGGAAGGATCACCAATAAGATCAGGGGTACTTCTGAACTGGTTTTATAGAGTTATCTGTTGAAAAATGTTCATTTTTCCCTTTAGATCAATTCCATCATGATCTTATGAGACATCCTGGTTTACTCTGCTCAAATGTTGCATTAGTTGTGATTACTTGATATTTACTTGGATGCCTAAATGGAGTCATACACTATTATTCATTAATGTTGATCGTTTCAGTTTTTGGTACTTCGGTTTTAAAATGCGGCAGCTGAAAGCCAAAATTATGATTTTCATTTCAGATAGCCTTCAGGCTTTTGTATTGCTTACCCTACTGACCTACAGGAGTTCATCCCTGTTCGTATTTTATTAATAAAAGACATTGAGACAAACTCATATGATATAGTATATGGGACAAGAGCAAATTTATTCTTCTTAATTATATAGCTTGGCTTCTTATGGCCATTTTGAAAGGAAGATTTTGAGCACCACTGCATTTGGATGAAATCTTAGCCAGTTGTAAACTGTTAAGGTTTTTAGAAATAGCAATTTGTCATTTATGCATACCTAAGTTCCTGAGACCACACAAAAGAGAAATTAAAAGTCAACATTTATTCCTCTACACTTCTTTTTAAAAATGAATGTTTCTCTACAATTCTCTGCCAGCTCATCCGCCAGTAAAACAAACTTTATAAATCAGGTCTTGGCTTGCATAAACAAGTAGGGATAAAAGTGCCAAATTGTGGGGTCAGGTTAGGGTTAATCAGAAGTCCCTTATTTAAGATTTTATCTTAATTCTCTCTTGTGTCATGAAACTACAGCTCAATAACATAATTACTATGTTTTTGTTTCAGATAAAACAATCCCAGAGACTCCTTTATATTTGAAATATTGAGATAGCCTCTTAAGTTCATTATCTCAGAGTAGATAGATGAATTGATTAATTCCAAGCAGCATAATAAAATTTAGTTCTATTAACATTGAACTGTGCTGTCCTGCTCTCCCTCCCTCCCTCCGCCCTCTTTCTCTCTCCCGCCCTATCTCTCTCTCTCACAACACACAAACACACACACACACACACATGTTAGGAGTCTTTACTAAGACTTCCAAGGCCAAATTAATACTCCCCAGCAATCCCCTTCGCCAACACCAGCATACCCCCAATGTATTCAACAGGCTACTCAAGAGAAGCCAGCACCAGTCCACAGTGCAAAGGCAAGGCAAATCCACTAGGCAAAGACAAGTCCAGAATTCCAGAGGCATGATCCGAAGTTCAAGGTACAGAATCCAGTCTGAGAGTCAAGACAAGAATCACAAAGGCTAAGAACACACAGCAAGGAAACGGACACGTTGTTCCCAGCATCGTTACAATCCACTTGCTGAACTAAATAGCTGCTTCCCGCATCTCGCCCCATCAAGAGGGACAAGGCTGCCACCTCACAAGTAGCCTGGCTGACCTTTATTGTACTTGTCTCCTCTCAGTCCTATGTGCTCTTGGATTGGGAGGAGGAGGCAGTTCTTCCTGATATCTACTGACCAGCTACAGCTGTGTGCCTTCTTTATCCGAAACCTCTGGGCTTCCCAGCTGCAAATGTGCCACTCCTGTTCTCCTAGCTCATTCAGTTGCTCCACTGTGCTTGGCCCCTCTGCTTCTGGCTCATAGCCTCTGGCAGCCTCCAGATGTTCCTCCACATCTCCCCCAACATCCCTGGATCCTGCTGTTCCTTGTCTGAACTAACATTTGGGGAAGCGTCTGAGGACCCATCACATGAACTTTCTTTTCTTTTTTTTTCATGTTTTCTAGTTTCATTCTCTAGTTTTCACTTTTGATGATTCTAACATTTCTTATGAATGATCTAATTTCTGGTCCATTTTCTTAGCCTTGTATTCCTTCCATTGCCTTGCTTTCCCCTTCATCATCCTCGAGAAACCCTTAATGTTGCTTCTGAGCCTTGCTATGCACAACCCCCTCAACTTGCAAGCCATAGCCAGTGCATGTAAAGCCAACCTGCTTTCCTTTGTTTTGTTTGCACCAATTGCAAATCACAACCACTTTTAAGAATCTGTTACTGCTGGTTGACTGAGTGTGAAATGTGAACCAGGAGGCAGGAAGTATGGTTGATGATGGGCAGTCAATCTGCCAATAAAAAAAAAAAAACCTTCAGGAGAAACATGCTTGCTTGAGTATTCCACCCACAATAGAAGCATGAGAGAGTTTTAAAAGCTGATTTTCTGCTTTTGGAAAGAATCTGGATTTTTTTTGGCTGCTTGTAACCTATCTATGATTTTGCAGCTGGTGGCATGAGATAGACGGGACCATGTCAATGGTGGGTTCCAACCGTTACCACCGGTTCTCTTCCTGCATGCACTTTGTGCACAATTGCTGCGTGCATGCTCGCTTCACTCGCATGCATGCCGAACTTGCATTCGTGCAAGCGCATTAGATTTCTGCCCAGCTAAGGCGCAGCAATCCACTCTGCCGCGCCTATCAGCTGGGCTAAAAAACAACAAATAAAGGTAGGTATAATGTGGGACGGGCGGAAGGGCCCAGCTCACAGTCAGAGAGAACCGGTTTGCTGACGTCACATCATCACCACTACCGGCTCGCCCGAACCGGGCTGAACCGGGAGCAACTCACCACTGGACCATGTCCAGTAGAAAATTGGGGTGGGAAATCTTGGTATGATAGGACTTGAGTATTTTCCTCTCTGGTGGATATGTGTTGTTGTCTTTTCCTTTCGCTGATTATTTTCTTCTTTATTTCTCTTTTTGTTTAGAGCTTGTTTTACTAAGTTTTTTTTTGACAGTCACTACATATGATTTATGATGCCTGATTATTCTGTATTTAACTTCATTCTGAGTTATTCTTTCTTCCCTTCTGCTGTTTTGTTTAAATTCTGTCATCACTTCAATAATGTTGTACCTCATGAGTTCTGTTCTTATTTTTGCTTGGTTCAACCATTTATCAATTGTCCACTTGTCTTTATGAATTTATTTGAATTACTCATTTTAATGACTGAGGTGGTTTTCCCCCCCTTGCCTCATCTCTTTATTTGCTCTTTTTGTGTTTTCGACTGCATTTGGCATTTATTACATAACATAAATAAAACACTCTTTGGTTTATACTTATTTTAGAGTTAAGATTATTGCTTGATTTGCTCCTTCTTCTGCAGAGAGAAACTATTTTTTCTATGTCAGTTCAGAGTGGAGAGTGCTTTGTTGAATCCAAGAGCACTCAGTCCAAAGAGCTGCTCCATCTGCTTGTTTGTCTGCTTGTGGTCACTTGCCTTAACATTGACAGAGATCTGTGGGGCTGGGTTGGGGGGAGATAAGTAAATTCAATAATATTATCTCTGGGAGAGTTTTATTCCTGGTAACTGGAACCAACTTTACAAAGATTTTTGATGTTTCCAAAATATCACTTAGAAAGTAGATCCTGAAATTTGGGATTTACTGAACTGAAACCACCCTTCTGACCAGGGGTGAAATCCAAAATTTTTCCCTACTGGTTCTGTGGGTGTGGCTTGGTGGGCATGGCAGGGGAAGGATATTGCAAAATCTCCATTCCCACCCCACTCCAGGGGAAGGATACTGCAAAATCTCCATTCCATCCCCTCCCCTCCTGGGGGAAGGATATTGCAAAATTTCCATTCCCACCTCACTCTGGGGCCAGCCAGGGGTGGTATTTGCCAGTTCGCTGAACTACTCAAAATTTCTGCTACCGGTTCTCCAGAACCTGTTAGAACCTGCTGGATTTCACGCCTGCTTCTGACTCAGAAGATTCCCCAGTCCCTAAGACATGTTCTTCAATTGATTTTGAACTCAAGTTTGTCTTCTTTTACAGATTTACTGGCCACCTCTTCCTGGGCAGAAAGAGGAATGCTTCCGGAAAGGAAAGGACTTAGTGGTAGGTCATCTCATTGCTTATAAAATGCTTATGCTAAATTTAATCTCCACTCTGTGATATATTTGAAATGCATTTGCAGTTTCTGAAAATGTCTGCAGTCACCTTGAACTCATTGGATTTTCTTTTTCAAAAGTTTCATTCAGTCCTTCTACCCAAATGATTCATCCATGGTTGAATATCACTCCCTGCCCTAAATTAAGGAAATTGCATTCTGTGGGGAAGGAGGAGATTAGGAATCTATTTCCTCACTTACCCACAGCGCAAACATGACTTGGTATCTGCTGTATCCTATGGCATTTTTCATCTGATGGTAGTTGCGTCTCAAACTGCCAACCTTCCGGTCCACAAGCCCAGCGTTTGAATTGCTAGGTCACCACATCCCTTGTGTACAAATAATATGGAATAAACTTTTAGTGCTTTGAGCTCAACTCCTATTCCTGGTTACTTGTGCCTGACTCTCATAGGGCTGTTATTGGATGCTCTTTATGATTTGGTGGCCATTATTTTTCTAAGATTATCTGATGTTAACTTCTCTTTTGAGTTTTTGTGAGCTTATGCTTGTGTCATCAGAAATAGTATCTAACACTCTTGTCTTTTCTTGGCTTCCCTGTGGATTGCTTCAGTTTTCCAAAACATTAGCATCTTCTCCAGTAACCTTTGTATTATACGTTCAAAATAGCATAGCTCCATCATTAGTGTTTCTAGGGAGTTGTCTAATCTTACTTAATCTAATCTTGAATGATCTGTTCTTTTTGTGGGCTAGGGTATTCTCAGCTTGTTCTCCAGCACCACCGTTTAAAGGCATTAGTACAATGTCATCAGAATGAGCTCCCAACTTGATTCTGATCTTATTCCTTGGGGTACTGTACTCTATACCTTTGAAGTTTGGGATTCTTATTACTGAAATTCCATCTTCCTTACAGATAGGGGAAGCAAGAACTAATTAGGTATTGATTGTAGAGCACATTCTCAGGAGACATCAAGCTGTCTACTGGATTGCATTTTGAGGTTAGATTCACTATAGATCTTATTTATTTATTTATTTATTTATTTTATTCGGTTTATATGCCGCCCTATCTCACAATGGACTCAGGGCGACTCACAACAATAAAACACAAGCCACAGTAAAAATAAAGACTAAAATCTAAAAAAAAATTAAAATTAACCCATTAAAACCCTTAAAACCCTGTCATCATTACTATGTAGTGCCTATTCTTTGCTTCTACATCATGCAAGCAATAATCTGAGACAAGGGGAGGGGAGAAATGTGGGGCCTATAAAGGCCCTGGGATCTTTTATTGACAGTCTATCTCACTGTAATGGTTCCCAAGAGTGAGTGTCACTCCCTTCAGCCTTATGGTATTTATTTTGCAGTCTGCAAAAAAAGCTGCAGGCTTTGAAGGGAGTCTTAAAATGCTCATTCTTTGCTTGTACAAACGCAAAGTGAAAAAATCCATTCTTTTAGTTACAGTATTATTAAAAAGTATTCTTTTCCCAGCATTTATGCTTTTAATGGGATACATGAGAACTTGACCAATGTTATCCAGAAGGAATAGATCAATAGAAACAATGATTACGCATAGAATACACCAGCTATTAAAGACCCACTAATGTAATTGAGTTAAAATGCCTTGTCTTCACTATCCTCCTTGTTAGTTAAAAGCATTGTTAGAATAATAAAAGAGGAAAATATATCCAGTTCTCCAGTACATTTTTAGACTGTGGCTTAGAGGTCCGATAACTCTTTCCATCAGCTTGTTGCCAGACACATTCTAGGTTTAACTTATAGTCTTTCCACTTATATAAAATGAAGGCTTACGTAATACACACCAAGAGTCATTAAGGAATATTGGATTTTTAGTTTTTCAAGGAACTCTTATTTTTATTTATCCATATTTATGTCCAGTGCTATTCAGTGGATAGCAATAGCAATAGCACTTAGACTTATATACCGCTTCACAGTGCTTTATAGCCCTCCCTAAGTGGTTTACAGAGTCACAATATTGCCCCCAACAATCTGGGTCCTCATTTTACCCACCTCAGAAGGATGGAAGGCTGAGTCAACCTTGAGCCGATGAGATTTGAACTGCCGAACTGCAGCTAGCAGTCAGCTGAAGTAGCCTGCAGTGCTGCGCTACCTCGGCTCTTATAGCTCGGATGGAGCTGAAGAACTGGGTGTTGGTACTGGATTTGATAACAGTGCAAAAAGAGCTTTGCTTCTTGCTTCTCTTGGGGTAAAAGAAGGAATAGAACAATTCTCTTGCTGCAGCTCTTGCTTTGATCCATCCCCTGTAGGAGGTGAGACACAGCTTATTAGAGCAGAGGCATTTTGATGCCAGATATTGTGAGGAGGGGAAAGACCACAATTAATCTGCATTTGTAATTTCAGGCTATTCTGCATTTTGTTGTATTAGAGTTTAATACTATCTGATTTTACATTTCAGTTGCCTTTTAACAATCATATAAATTATCCATCATAATTTGATTGTATGACCGCAGACAAATATAATATAAACAACTCTATAGCAAATGCCAATTTGTTTTCTAAACAATTATTCAAAGCCATTATTTTAAATTTCTCCCTTTTTACTTAGGCACTGTTGCTCAGCTATTTGGACTTTCAGTTCATCAGTAGGTGAATATGCTTGTAAGCACTTTGAACATCTTCTCTGTTTTAAGGTTTTTGAAACAACCAGGTGCCTATTGGATAAAGAGGAAAGAAGATGAAATAATAAGATGGATAAGGAAAACAAATACAATTCTTATTTTAAGGTGCTGCTGTTTTCCCCATTGAATTCTAGTACCATCTTTGCTGAAGAAAAGAAGTTTCTCCTGAAGTATATTAAAAAGGCTGAGAGTTACAAGAGTTTTCTAAACACCACAAATCAGCAAAATGGAAACAGGTTAATCATAGTTGACAGATTCATTAGAACTCTCCACGTCATAGAAAAATAGCAGTAGTACTAGAAGGAAGGGGAAGAAGGAAGGAGGAAGGAGAAAAGAAGAAGGAAGCTAAATCATGGGGAGAGAGTTGGATGCAGGAAAATAATTAGTTCAGGCCAGTCAACTTGGTACCTTCCAGATGTTTTGAGTTATAACTCACACAATCCCTTGCTGTTAGATATGGTGGTGTATATGCAGATATCTTTATTTTAGTTTTACAATATCTATAATTGTAATCTCGTTTGTAGCCTAGTCTGAGGAATAGGGAGCTCTTTGAAGCTGGGAATTTGAACCTTGAATTTCTGGATTCCTAAATCTTAATGGGAAATGAAAAAGACAGCCAGTGTGTTTAATAGTTGGGACCAGCACCAAGGAGATCCAGGTTATGTCCATCCTTAGCCATGGAATCCTGTTGGTTGGGGTTGTGGCAGTCATTCTTTGTCATTGACCTCCTTGGCGCTCTCTGTTTTCTTGCAGAGATTTCATTAACAACTAAATAACATCATCAATGCTAGCATGAAAATAACCAAGCTCAGAGAGCACCAAGGACTCCATAGCTCAACCCTGAGCTACAAATATTCTCTTCTATTGGTACCATTCTCTGTCAATCCAATGATTCTCCAGGGGTGGCTATTATTAGGATAAATTGAAAGGCAATCCCAGTGTAAGCAGCCAAAAAGGTGGGGTATAAATTCAATGAATAATTGCACTGTTTTTTTTTTATTTTTCTATGTCTAGGATTTTCAAGTATTATAAATTTAAAAATATAGCAAAATAATCTGACAAAAACATCATTCTGTAGGAAATTAATTTCAAATTTCAGTACATGCATAAATACAGCCGTAAATCTAGCATATTAGACCTGCAAATTTGTGCTAAATTACGTTCTTAAGGTATTGAATAAAATAAAATAAAAACCTGATATGACAAAATTTAAAATGCTTTAAATATGTTTTCCTCACTTTTGCCATCCAGAGAGGATAATTTAATACAAAATATTTTAAAAAGTGCCTTCTTTTTCTGCTATTACATATGTGATAAAAAATGTTATGCCTGTTTATTGTTCCTTGAAAGAATAATATTTTCAGATTAAAAGGCATTAACCTGATATGAAACGCAAATCTCTGGTTGAGGTCTATCTGCTGTTTATTCTGGTAAGGTCCTCAAAGGGAAAAGTTGAAAGCAGAAAATATGGAATTGATTATCAAGCTACGAAAAAAATTCAAATAAATGACTCTTCTTTGGAAACTGAAGAAGAGTAACAAGGCAGAAAATAATCACTTGAAAGGCAGGCTGCCTTTTTCATTATATTTTGGAAATGAGATAATTTTCTTTTTGAACACACAATTTATTAAGAGAAACATGGGAATGACTGTCGCTCCGCCTTCTTCTGCCTCATGCCCGACCAGATGTCTTTAGGAGTACAATTCCCAGAATTCCGAGTCAGCAGGGCCAGGAATTATGCCTTTTGGGAATTATGGGAGTTGCTCATATGCCTGGAACATACCGAGCTGGGGAAAGCTGCCTGTTTCAAAGTGTCTGGGCTGCTTTTCCCCAATTTTCCTCAATCTCTTGGGTAGGAAAAATACACGAAGGCAATTAGCAGCACCAGCAATGTCATTATTGGCTCAAAGTCTAACAAAGGAATAATTGATGGTATTATAATATGAATTACAACATGGGTGTCCAGCTTTTTGGCTTGCCTGGGCTGCATTATGTGAAGGGGAATTGTCTTTGGGCCGCATATAAAGTATATAATAGAGTTAATGTATATAAATATTGCTAAAAATCACATAATAATGTTAAAAGTTTACAATCTTGTGGGACTGCATTACTAGCGGTCCAGGGCTGTGTGCAGGCCACGTGTTGGACATGCCTGAATTACAAGAAGGATCTCTGTCCAAATAAATATCATGGAGATGAATTAGATCCTATTTGGATGGATATATAGAATTCTTCCCCAATTGGAGGCACCACACAGTGTTTGAGAGGCAGGATGGTAGGAGGGCATATTCCAAAAGTAAAAGTAAGATTTCATTGATTTATATTTAATTAAAATTAAGTACAGGTAGCTTTTGATTTACAACCATTCATTTAGAGACTATTTGAAGTGACTTACAACCAGTCTTCCCACTTAAAATCATCACAGCATATGTCTAGTTTAACGAAATACCCATCGCCTTTTTTTTTGGTTAAAGTGGTGTGTTCAAAATAGAAATGAGAGTTGGGATGTGGCATGTCCGGTTTGATGATGTGATGCAGAGGGAAAGACGAGTGTAAGAAAGGGAGGGTAAGACCTTGGGTTTCTACAGCAGTATACATGTAGTTTGTTATGTGTGATGGCCATTGGAATCTGGTGGTGCCTCCAAGAGACTCCATGGCTTCTTTCTCCTTATCTGCCAATGACTTCTGCTCCGGAAAAGTCAACAATTAATCCAGGTCAGACTTGTGAGTGGTCATTTGTCATTCTGCTATATAACTAAACTTCCTTTTTAAATGACTGGTTTGGCTAGATGAAGGTTGTGCGTCTCCTTCATTTCCTGTCATTGTTTCCCTACCAGCAATACTTTTTCCCCCTCTACATCTTAACTGGAATTGGCAGGCAAAACTGAATCTAAGGCCCTTGCTCTGATTCTAATATCCTCTTTTTCCCTTTGGGTGGAAAAAGCAAAATGGATTAAGAAGTTGTGAGGAGGTTCCGAGAGAGAGAGAGAGAGAAAGAGAGAGATGGGACAATTACATGCCTCACTGTTTTATGCAGTCTCCACCAAGCTAGTACTGTCTGCATACATTGGTTTACAACAGTGGTGGTTTTCAAATTTTTTTACTACTTGTTCTGTGGGCATGGCTTGGTGGGCATGGCAGGGGAAGGATACTGAAAAATCTCCATTCCCTCCTGATCAGCTGGGACTCGGGAGGCAGAGAATAGATGGGGACGGGGCCAGACAGAGGTGGTATTTACTGGTTCTCTGAACTACTCAAAATTTTCACTACCGGTTCTCCAGAACTGGTCAGAACCTGTTGAAACCCACCTCTAGTTTACAACTCCCCTAATCTCCATCCAGCACAGCTGCCAGTCCTTTGGCTTGAACTATTGTTGTTTAACACAACTACAGGACACCATGTTGAGGAAGGCCAATCTAGGTTGAAGCATTATAGAGTGATTGCTTATAAGTCAGTCATTTTCTTATTAGGGGCATTAGCCAATTCATTTCAAATTTCCCTAAATTTCCATAACACTCTTAGAGCAGGGAAAAAAGCCCAAGATGGCTTTTTGGATTGATGGACCCTGGAGATGAATGTTTTATGTCAATTCCCATTATGTCTATTCAGGCCCCAAATTGTTATATATTGCCTTATGTCTATAGGACCAAGTGGGCTTAGTCAGTGTCAACTGTCCAGGCTTCATTGGTATTCTGTTCTGCATGGAGGATTCTGATCTATAATCTCGGTTCCTGGAATCCACCATGTAGGGATGGCTGTCACACAATCCAGGTTCTCTTCATTTCTAAAACAGAAGAAATCTTTTTCATCAACTTGTAACTCTGAAAGTGTATTTTTGAAGTTGTGTACTACAACTGTTAAATTGTGAGCGTGGAGTTCAGACACTCAGATCCCCATTTTTCTATGAAATTCGCTGGACAAATTTATTTCTATAGCATAGCCTGCCTTACATGTAGGAAACAAAGCAAACAATTAAATCATACGTATTCTTTTTTCCCCTTTAATCAGCGAGTCTGACAACTTTATTGTCTTTGGAAACAGCTCTTCCTAAATCAAGTCCTCTTTGTTTGGAAGACTGCTACCTTTTGAGAATATCTGCCAACAATTTTATTATAACTGTTGGAGTTTAAATTAGCATTTGATTACTGTAAGTTAACTTCCTAGCAATTACTATCAGGAATAGATAATACTTTTAAACTGGGGGCACATTTGAGATTTTGAGAACAGAGCAAGTACCTTCACCAAATGACTCCCTTGGCAGGTTCGTGGGAAATATGGCCCAATCACAAGCACCCAAAAGTGAATGGGAGAATCTGTTTTAAGAAGTGCTGGATTCAGGCATAAGGCAAACAAGCGACAACTTAGGACCACACAACATGTTTGATATTTGTTTTCTTTTTGCTTTTAGAAATTACGTTTAAATATTGTTTCTAGGGCATGTTGCACTATATTATAATTTACGAGAGATATTAAGCCAGCCAAATGATAAATATGTTAGCAGTAAATGCATTTATTTGAAAATAATTTGTATTTTTCACTTTGAATGCCTTGTTATTAAACAATTAAAATAATTAAAAGATGTGCGTGCAAACATACCCACATATAATATTTTTTTGTGGTGACCCAAACTCCTGTTTTGATCTGCCCCTTTGTGAGGCCTTTTAGTTTAAATTTTTAACAAGTGGCCTCCAAACTTTATATAGCTTAATGCCTCACCAGGTCTAAACCTGGCACTGATTTCAAGGGATACAGATGCTGAAACCTGAAAGCAATTCCCGGGTCTATCAATCCAGGAATAAGGATATAAATGTCCAAAATTTGCAAGAATCAAATAGATTCTCCTTTCAGGTAGGTTTTTAAAAAAGAAAGGGACAGCCCCATTCTCTCTTTGCCTTTTTCCCTTTGTTCATGGGAGCATCACTTCTTGGGATCAAATCCAGGAAGGTAGAATTTCAATCCAGGAACTGCATTGGAGATATAAGGAAAATAGTCATCTAGGGAACAGTCAAACTAGATGTGGGATTAGTTAGTACCATATGTCTGGGGGTTTTGCTGATAGAGAATTAGCTGAGATCCCATTAGAAACCCTTGATGTTTCCTTTCCCCCACTCTTTATCCTTTGTTTTCTATAATTATTTTAGAAAGACTTCAATTCTGTCTTTCTGAAAGGATTCTAACATCTCCCTGATTGATTAAGCTACAGAAAAGGAAGAAAGCAAGAAAAGCAGTTGCTTTTCATCTGTTCTCAGGGAAATGTAACAGCATTTACCCAATTATCCCCCCCCCCCGGTCAGGTATGGGATGGGACTGTATGGAGGAGTTTTCCCATCCAAACCCAACCTACCATATCCAGCCACATGCAGGATTATGTGCATCCCATTACATCCCATGTTGTCATCTTTGAGGATCCCATATCATTCCTACAAATGAATCTGATGTTAGAGACTGGCACTGTGTTTTGCTTTGTGTTGGCTTCCTATTTAGTTTTACTTTAAATAAAAAAAATCTTTTAACAGATACAGATAGGGGAAGTTATGTGGTGGGCACCAAACGATGGAGGCTGAAGCATTCTTTGTGTCCATATGAACATTTCTGAGAACAGGAATCCAATTTGAAAAATAAAGACTGGGAAGCGGGAATCTTTATGTCTGTCTGTCTGTCTGTCTCTTCCTCCCTTCCTCCATTGGATATGCTTGTGAACTATGGCAGGATAGACTTTCCATAAGGATAAGGTTCTGTCAAGATGCCCATTTGAATTTCTAAATGAAAATGCTATTTTTAGACCCATTGTGGCACTTTCTTCCTGTTTTCTGCTGATTTAGCAGCAGTGTTACATTGTATGTACTTAGGCTAATACAGGATATCACTGCACAAGGCAATATGACAACCTCACTTCCTGACCTATGAATGATAATACAATGGTTTCAGTCACATCAGTCGCCCAGGCAGCCTGAGGCAAAGAAAGATCGGCATTCATTCAGTTGAAGTGACAGGAACATGGGAGGAGGAGGACTGAAATGTACCTAAACAACCTATAGATATAAACAGAAATTTGCTATCCATTTTGGAAGTCACAAGAAAAGTCTGCTGTCTGATCAAAAGCAATGATAGTTGGTATGATCTCAACGAGAAGAAAGATTTTTATGGCCCTGGGGAATGACATGTGAAAATTTGAAATATGAGAAAGGATTTGTTCTCTGTACTTCAGTATAGATATTGGATCTGAAATAACATTAGTCTTTGGCAAGTGGAAAATGCTATTTGGTTCATTATGCTCAATATATCACTTTACTGTTTTGATTATTTATTTTTTATTAAGCTGCTCATTCCCAAAGGCTCTTCATTGCTAACAATCAGAATCATCATAAAACAAGAAAATTCCCCTGAAAGTAATAAATGAACTAATGGTTGTACAATTGTATAGAAGGAAAAAAAAAACATACTAAGCCATGTGTTGACCAGGTGACCTAACCATTGCAACATGCCTTCCTCCTGGGATAGATTGAATGATTAGCTTGCAGGTGCTTTCCTCAATCTCTATGTAGAAGGTGTTCCAAAGCATGGAGACTGGATGAAAAAGACTAGCCAAAGTCAGTGTTGAGGAAACCAAAGCTACAGAGCTTGGTTCTCAATAACTCTGTAGCTCTTCATGGTACTTTATCCCTTGAACCAGAAATCCATCCTCCTTGTGTCATCCTTTGCTCAACACACTCTTTTAATCGTTAATACCTAGCTGTGACCATCCAGATGAAGTTATTTCATAGAAACATAAAACATAGAAAACATTGCAAATACCAGTTGCTATTTCTTTTCCAGACGGAGTGTGCAAACTATATCCGAGTTCTTTATCCTTTAAACCGGACTCATCTCTTAGCTTGCGGGACTGGAGCTTTTCATCCCGTCTGTGCTTTCATCTATGTGGGACACAGAGGAGAGGTAAGGAGTCAACGTGCATCTGAGGCAGACCATATAAGTACTATAGTGAAGGATCGAGACCCTTTTCTATTAAGAGCAATTGCGACCAACAATACCTCTCCTGGGGTGGCAAGTGGTGACTTTTGTTCGTTTGTAAAATGTTTCTTTGAGTCAGTCTTTTTTTTTTTAAACTGGGGGAAGCCAATTTGATTTAGTAGCTAAGATGCTGGACTAGAAACCTTCTACAGACCCTGAACTCTAGGCCTCCCTTATTTATTGAACTTGGCTGGGTGAAATTGGGTCAGTCATTCTCTCAGTCCAACTCATCTCACAGAAAGATTGGAAAATGGAAAATAGGAGAAGCAGGATGAGTTGCAAAAAATAAAGGTAGGATATAAAGCAAATATATCCTATTTCTTGCCTCACCAACAAAGGAAGATTTGTTGGTGAGGCAAGAATTCCTAAGCCTGCCCTTCTCTTGTGGAAAATGGTACTCTTTTATTTTATTCATTATTATATTTATAGCATCCCCTCCATTATTATAGAAATAAAGGCAGGCTCCTTGGGGAAGGAGGCTTCCCTCATTGATCCTTACAAGATTGAGAAGCAGTAACTGTCCCATGGTGTCCCAGTTGAGTGAGACCTGAACCCATGCCCTTCCAGTCCCATTCCAATGTTTCAACCATTACATCCCATCTGGTTTCCTCCATCAGCTCCCTTGTACTTGCCTTCCCTTCCCTTCCCATTTCCAAGGCAGCTGCAAAAAAATCAATAGCTGCCTATTGGTTTCAGACAATGGGGTAGTATTATGGCTGTTAATATACTATTAATATACTATTAAGTATATTCTTAATAGTGGTGAAAAGAAATAACTCAACTTCTGGACTGAAATGCATTCACTTTCCTTAATCATTGTTAAGAATAATTACAATTATCCTGGTTTTCCTGACTCATTAAGTTGTAGCTACACAAACATATAAATGAATGTAACAATATTGGAGAGAGAAGAATGCTGGCATGAGAGGAAGTCAACGATCATTGTTATAAAATACTACACTATAATGTACTGTCATATTCAACGCAATTCATTGTATTTAATACAGTAAACTACAGTTTTGCAAATAAAATTTTAAAAAAAGACCTCTTTTGGATCAGACAGAGATTTAATCAAACCAGCATCTTGTTACATTAGCTGACAGATATCTCTTGAAACCATAGAGAAGACTGGACAAACCTTTGATTGTTTTAACAGAGCTTTTCTTCTATGTGTACTAGTCTACTCACTTAATGCAGAAAGATTAAACCATGATATTTCCATTTCCAAGAAGGAATCAATACAGACGAGAGCAACTAGGTTTGCAATTCTTTGTGTTAAATGTCTTATCTTGTATTAAATTTGGAAAGGTTGATTTATGTGCTTATGCTTCTCGGATAGGAACAAAAAAACCCCTGATTTCTCAGTTCAGTTCAGTGCACTTAGCCTGTTTGTTGTTGCAACTAAACATAACTGCCATTGTGGAATTTGTCTAGCCTTCTCAGCCTTCTAAGAAGTGAATGTAGAATATATTAAGCTGTCAAGCGGATCAGTGCATTGCTCCATTCATATCTAACTCCTACTTATACTGCTTTCTTCCTCTGCCTGTTTTTCTGTCTGCTCTGTTTTTTAAAAAAACAAACCAAACTAAACCCCATTTATATTCCATCTGAAACATGTTCATTCACTCCTAGATGTACTTACATGGAGAAAGCAGAAATAATGTTAGATGGGGACAGATTTTTTTAAAAATGAAGAAGGAGTCCTTGGTGCTATCTGAGCTTGATTGTTTTCCTGCAGATGTTTCATAACTTAACCTAGGCAACATCATCAGTGCTAATAACCTATAAAAAGCAGTGAAATTGCAACTGTATAATGGTCTACATCATTGGTGAAATCCACATTTTTGTACTACTGATTCTGTGGGCGTGGCTTGGTGGGCATGGCTTGGTGGGCGTGGCAGGGGAAGGATACTGCAAACTCTCCATTCCCACCTCATTCCAGGCGGAAGAATATTGCAAAATCTCCATTCCCACCTCACTCTGGGACCAGCCAGAGGTGGTATTTGTCAGTTCTCTGAACTACTCAAAATTTCTGCTACCGGTTCTCCGACTTGCTCAAAATTTCTGCTACCGGTTCTCCAGAACCTGTCAGAACCTGCTGGATTTCACCCCTGATCTACATTAATATTATGCCATCTGTCTTGTGTTTGGGGGAACAGCACAAATACAGGCATATATAGGATATCTGGGATATGAGCTACAAGTACTGTAGCTTCCAAGGATGGATTCCTTTGGAACTGTGAGATCTGTTACGGAGGTTCCTAAACCTCCCTGCCTCCCTTGTGGTTTCTCACATTTTAAAAGATATCTTTTAAATTAGGAAATAACTGTGCTATGAAATGAAACAACAGTCTCCAGTGTTGTCTTGGTTTTCAAAAATGCCTTTGGGTCCCAAATAGGTCCCATAATCTTTTTCTAAAAACAAAAATGGTGGATGGCCGCCATCTAGACCTTTGGCCTATAACACACCTGCTCAGGAATGAGGTAAAATCAGTAGAAATCATCTGCTGAGAGAGAGAGAGAGAGAGAGAGAGAGAGAGAGAGAGAGAGAGAGAGACAGAGACCCTACATATCCATCTGATATTTTGATACTTTGTAACTGATTATGTTCCCCGAACTAGTCATTTTGTGTTTTGGTAATGCTCTCTTTAGGGAATTTTTGGGGGCGTGTGAATAGATCAAAAATTTGAAATGACAAGCAGACTTGACTATCTTGATTTTTATTCACTACCTTGTGAACCCCCTTGTACCTCTTGTCATTTTGCTTAAGTACCTACAAATGCCCAGGTCTGGAAGCAGCATTGTAGAAAATAACAATCTACTCTCTGTAATTTGCACCTATTGATCACATTGTTCAAAATTCTTGCAACCAGAAGGACCAAATCATTCTGTTTGTTTGATACCTATGTCCATTATTAGCTCAATCTCTTAGGAGGCTTTGGGGGCTATTTCTTGAAAAATGTATGGTTGTCTCTGTGTGTGTGTACGTATGCAACACCGTTCTATATATACATAAATTGTAAAACCTTTGGTATAATAAGGCATTAATAAAATTTGGTATTCTCTCAAACTCGGTTAAAACTCCAGTCTAGCTCTGTAAAGGACTAATACAAATAAAATCAAAACTAACCAAGAGTTAAAACCAATTAGCAGCCATTTGACCCACTGGCCTCTCATGAAAAACACCCCGATCAACAACCAGATATAAAATCTGTGGGTGGCATTTTTTTTTTATTTTTTTTTATTTTTTTTTTAATTTGATTTATATGCCGCCCTTCTCCGGAGACTCAGGGCGGCTTACAGTGCATTAAGCAATAGCCTTCATCCTTTTGTATATTTATACAAAGTCAGCTTATTGCCCCCACAAACTGGGTCCTCATTTAACCTACCTTAGAAAGGATGGAAGGCTGAGTCAACCTTGAGCCTTGGAGAGATTCGAACCAGCAGTAAATTGCAGGCAGCTGTGTTAATAACAGGGTGCTTTAAACCACTGTAGTACCAAGGCTCTTTTCCTTTCTTGTCCTTTCCTCATTAATCAAGCTGGCCTAAGCAGGAAGGTCGCCCAACTTCACCTCATAACCCCTCTTGGCTCTGGCAATTTCAGAAGCTTTTATGACCAAGCCTGTGGGAGAAAGAGTCCTTTCAGCACAGCTGTTTATCATGAGCCCCTGGGATGATCACTTGGACTTCTCATTTCATGCAACGCCCTTCCCAAATGTTCAGACTGACATCACCCTGGTTTGCCATGCAAAGCAGAAACACAATCTGAGCCCTGTGTTCCGGTTCGAGTGTGGGTGTGCGAAAAGCCTGAATGAAGGTCCCACAATTAGGTGATTTGAAGAGATCGCTTTGTCCAGCCAAGGAGATGACTCCAGAGAAACACTCAAAAATTGAAGAAATAGTATCAGCCTTGCAATTTTCAAAAGACGTAGTTTCATTATGCTGAGGGATATTTCTTGAAACTAAACAGGATAGTAGCACCAAAAACATTTTATCAAACAGTTAACCGTGGCAAGGACGTTTAATGCCTTTCTAGGATTGGCTGTGGCCTTTTCCTCCCTATATTGCGAGCTTGATCATCATTTATTTTGTCATTGACCAACAACAGTTACAGACAGTACTAAAATCAAACGTCAGCTTGTTTGAAACGATGAGTCAGGATCTTTGTGGCTCCATGCTGGTTTATCTGAACCTAGAATGAAACTGGCAATTTTTTTGGCAATTCTGAGGCTTGTAGTTTGCATTTCTCTTTTCTCTCTCCCTCCCTCCCTCCATGCCTCCCTCCCTCTCTCTCTTTACTGAGTCTCTTGAGTTCTTAAACCCAACTCAGTTTCTCCTTAACCTCTACTGCGACCTTTAATTCATAAAGATGTAAACATTCCAAGATCTATTGGCACTGAGAAAGCCATAGGGTTTATAATGGGATGAACATCAGTCTTAGTAACTTGATTTTTGCTTACATTAAGAACAAAAAACTGCTGTTACTTTCTCTTGGTGAATCTGTGCTATCATGACAAGGGTTTCCTTACACATTCTATGATCTGAGAACCTTTTGGAGTTCTCTTCATTCTTATCACATAAACATTTCCATGTTTCCTTTCACTCTATTAGTTTGATGTGGGCACCTAATTTTTCTCCCTCATTTCTCTTCCCAGCACATGTTCAGCATGGATCCAACCAGTGTAGAAAGTGGCCGGGGCAGATGTCCACATGAGCCTAATCGGGCGTTTGCAAGTACATTTTTTGGTAGGTGCCAAAGTAAATTAATCTGAATCTTGTATCCTAATAGCTGTACATGGATATTTACTATTTTATTATTTTATGTCATATTTTTTCCTGCTACTTAGTTTACTGTTTAAGACATTCAGCAAATAAGTGCTGGAAATAATTGAAGAAATGCATGATCTCAGGTGAACTTCTCAGGAATTGATCTTATAGGCTTCTTTGCCAAGCGTTTTTCTGTTCTCCAGAGAGAATTCAGTTCTTCAAGTGGATTCAGAAAAGTCTAGAAAGAATCTGTCCAACCATTCTTCCAGGTTGTTGCCGGTCACTCTGCTCAAGAATCAATAACTTAGGTTATTTGTCTGTAAGCATGTATTAGAAAGCCTCCTCTCTCACCATTTGTTACTCTGGGTGGCATACAAAATGAAAAAAAAAAACCCAATAACAATAATGAACAAAATTAAAAAGCTCAACAAAACCAAAAACATAATAAACTACTGAGGCTATATTTCTCCAAGGTCTTTCTTGAATTCCTATGTAAAATCTGCCAGGCAATTGCTGAATTTATGATTCTATAATAAATGTGAGTTCTGTTGTGTTTTCTAAACTAGAAAACACAACAGAAGAGCCTGTAGTACAGTGGACTAAAGCACTGTTATTAACATCTGCTGCTTGCAATTACTGCAAGTTCAAATCTCACCAGGCTCAAGGTTGACTCAGCCTTCCATCCTTTCAAAGGTAGGTGAAATGAGGACCTAGATTGTGGGGGCAATAAGCTGACTTTGTATAAATATACAAAAGTATGAAGGCTATTGCTTAACGCATTGTAAGCCGCCCTGAGTCTCCGGAGAAGGCCGGCATACAAATTAAAGCAAAACAACAACAACAACAACAAAAACTACCATTATAAATGGACAAGTTCTAAGACCTTAGAAAAGAGTGCAACACGAATAATCCAGATAGCAGGAGCTACAGTCAGCAGTATTGTGGGTTGGGGAAGAAAACAGTTGCTGTTTTGCTGAAATAAAAGACTGCTACTTCTTCTACTCTCGATTTCCTAATTTATATTTAAATCATGTTTTAATGCTCAGTGGAATATGTGGGAAGAACCAGGGTAAGGACAAGGATTGTTTAACCCAGTGTTTCTCAACCTTGGCAAGTTTAAGACTAAGGAATTATGGGAGCTGAAATTGACACATTTTAAGATTGCTGAAGTTGAGAAACACTGGGTTGACTTTTTAAAGACTATTATGTTGATGAGTTTTCCCTATGGATGTGAGGCCTGCTCCTTCTCAATATAGTCACGTTCATTTAGAATTTTAAATTGTTTTTATCAGATTTTAGTAATAATTTGTGTTTGGAATCTGCACTTTGATATGGCCCAAGGGCTAATCAATAAAGTAAACTATAACTGTATTTAGAATTTCAGTGTGATTTTGAGTCCATGTAATTTAAAAAAAGAAAAAGAAAAGACAGCTATAAAACCCAATTTATTCTCTCCAGGGACAACTGCTCCCCCCTGTGCTTCAATTATTTTCTTTCCTCATCTCACATAAAAATTGTGCTATACATTTCAGTGTTGCCTTTGGTAATGAATTGTTCATGGTAAGAAAAACGATGGGAAAAGTAAGAGGAACAGATGGAAGGATGAAAAATGGTAGATGAAATCATCTGGGCTTCCCTCCCCATCAGATCCCATGGGCTGTTGCATAATAAAGGGCTGATCTAGAAAGACGCTGAGAATTGATAGAACAGACTTTTCAAGAATGGTGTCAGCCTGGAAGCCATCTTTGCATTGGATCTTCAGGCCTGCCACATTTAGTGCTGTGGGAAACTAGGAGGGGGGATTGTATGGAGCAGGGACGATATATAGTCATAATAACATTCCTTTCTCTGAGAGTCAAGGACATCTTGCCCTGCACCTGGAGGGGTGTGACAGGGAGGCATCTCCATTTGGGACGGTGCATTGATTGGGCCATGTGATGGACATGTGGGTGCTGGGCAGGGATTTGGACTTTTCTATGGGTGGGGAAAACCTGGAAGCTTTCAGATTCGGATTTTCCCAGATGTGCCAATATGACATCTCTAATAAAAATGGAACTTTGAGGAACTTCGAGCCTTCTTTCGTTGGGGGTGTTACTTGGAACCCTGACAAATGGCAGCCAAGGAATCTCCTGTTTAGATCTGACCTCTGTCATAAATGCAATTGATGGCTTTAGACAAGCTATCCATTCTCACCTTGAACCATCTGTGAATGTTACCAGGCAATCAGAATACTCATGAAGTTCTTTCAATATAATGGGATGCGTGCTGGTGCCTTTATTATTAAAGGTGTTAACAAACACAAAACTTGTGTACAAACAGCTACTGTTTTTAATTAACTTATTCCCTAGGTGGAGACTTGTATACGGGGCTAACAGCCGATTTCTTGGGCAGGGACTCCGTGATCTTCCGGACCATGGGACATCGCTCTTCTCTACGTACAGAGATGGACCAGAGGTTGCTTAATGGTAGGGAAAAATTACTTACAACTCTTCATCAAGTGAATAGGCACATAGTGAACATGTAAATATGCAGTTTTAGAGAAGTTGGGATTGCTTCATTTTAGGCCAAAGGTCTTCAAACTTGGCAGCTTTAAGACTTGTGGTGTGGTGTGGCTATGCTGGCTGGAGAATTCTGGGAGTTGAAGTCCACAAGGCTTAAAGCTGCCAACTTTGAAGACCCCTGTTTTAGGCAAACAATGAAATAGGTGTGTGTTCCATGAATTTTGTGCATGGGATCATGACAAGGGTATAAAGGGGATTAAACAAAGCTCATGTAAAGCTCAGAGATAGTCAGAAGAAAAGTGACTGACAGAAACCCATATAAAGTACAGAGCAATCAATGAAAAAGGGAGTGTTGTCCACGAAAATAAGAATGGGGGAAAAAAAGGTGAAATGGAGGTCATGATCACTCTAAATTTGTACATGGGAAAGAGGAGGAGATGGGGAAGTGTTTATATAACTAACCCTGTATAGTTTTAATAAGAAGAGTCCTTATCTGTTATCTCTCTTGGCAATAACATTCATTGACTGTTCCAAGACAGAATCTGCCAAGATTTTAAACTTTTAGGACCAGCACCAAGCTACAAACTGCTTCTGGGGACCTTTTTTCTTAATCTGTCCAATTATTTTTTTTTTCCCCTCAGCTCCCAAATTTGTTGCTGCTTATATGATCCCAGAGAATGATGATCGGGACAATGACAAAGTCTACTTCTTCTTCACGGAGAAGGCGGCAGAGTCAGACAGCAAAGGGCATGCCATCTTCAGCCGTGTGGGCAGAATCTGTGTGGTGAGTTTCTCAGGTCATTGCCAGGCATAATGGTGGCCCCTTAGAGACATGTGCTAGTATTGATCTAAAAATCAATGTGTGTGAGGGGGGGAGAGAGCTTGCAGCTCTGGATATCATACTTTAAAATCTATAGGTCCTGGGACAGCTTATGCCCTGTGAAGTGGTTGCTTGCTGCTCTTATGGGCCTTTGGGATTTAATTTAGGAGAAGCAGTTGAATTATTGTATGGTACTTGAAGGTAAAGGCCATATGATGTGTCTTCATTTTATTTTTATTGCTGCTCTGTTGTTTTAGTGGTATATTGTAATGTGTTTTGAGGATGTTATTGCAAGCTGCCTAGAGATCTAGAAGGAGACAGTATATAAATTAATGTAATAAATAAATCATAAATATAAATTAAATGACTCAGTTGACATCTTTACGCACAACTGAAATGGATCATTTGGTCTTTGACTAGTGCCTAATTATATTTTACGGGTGAGTTTAAAGAGATTTATTAATAGATATAAGGCCACTTTATAGCACAAGGGCATGTCATTTTGTGATTTATGGTATTGCTAGTTATTATGAAAAACTGTTAAGCAATAATAGCCTTCAGTCTGTTTGATTGCTTGTTTTCTGTGAGTCAAATGAGAATATGAGAAATGAGAATATCTGAATGTGTACATTCATTTTATTGATTTTTTTTAAAAAAAGATATATTTAAAGATGATTTCTCTCCTGGTATCAGCGACAGAAATAGTGCTATATAGATTTCGTTTGTGGCTTAAATGGCATTGCATGCTTTTATGCAGAAACAGCAGAGGCTAAACCAAAACCTGCACCCACAATGTATAGATTTCCACACCAGAAGGGATAAATGTTTCAACTTCATTTTTGCTTTGTAAGACCCTGTGTGAATTCTCAGCTTCCCTATTAAAAAATACACCCAAGAATTGATAATTTGGATTTACACAGAAGAAATAATCAAACTAAATTAGACTCCAGAGGAATGGCCTCTGGAGATTGGAACAAAAAACTTTCCAGGGAAAGGATTGGCATGTGTGATCTGCAGCCAAGGGTCCAAATGAAAATCAAGTAGTAACCGTTTTGAAGCCCTAAGCTCTGCTGGTAAACAAAAATTGCCTCTAGGACTTGGCAGTGTTACTACATATACACTGAACATGGAAACTTTTTAAAAGATTTCTCTCTGATCATGGAGGTCTTGCCTGCTTTAAATTAAACAAAGTTGTCCAACCCAGCTCAGAAAACTTGGAGAGGCTAAATAAATTCGCTAAAGAATTTGGGGAAGATGTTATCACTATGTATGAGTTCTGGTGAATGGTATAGGTGATCAAGTAGGAATTTATGGACTATTGTAGCCTAAGTGTTCAGAGTCGCTCGGTAGTGAGATAGATGGCATATCAATTTAATAAATAAAAAAATATGCAAAAAGTGAAATAGCCAAAGTTGGATGTGTTGCTAAACTCAAATCAAGATTAAATAATAATAATAACTTTATTGTCATTGTACGTGTATACACAATATACTCATACAATGAAATTCACTTAACACCCAAAGACCAGGTCCAACACACATAACAATCCCCAAACACACTCCCACCCACCACAATTCCCCAATTAAAATGCCCGCAGGAGATAATGTGGTTTTCACGTTGTATTTTCTTTTTCTACTGTTGGGACATGTGCACTCCTTATATAAACTTCCTTTCACCAAAGTGCCTTACATCCCAAAAGATGAGGTCTCACAGTGTTTCATGCAAGGAAGTTCCAAGCAGTCGCTCTCATATATGATGAAAAAAGAAAGGAAGTTGCAAGAGCAGATACGTAACTAAAAGACTCCTTGATACCTTTGCCACAGTATTTAGCTTTATGTGGCAGTGTCTTTTCTCCCTTCTTGTTCATTATAATTGCTTATTTGAGATCAGTTTCATGATGGGGTAATATAACATTGTTGGGATTTGTAATGGGGTTATTTTAACACAGAGAGCTGAAATGCAGCTAGTTAAAGCTGGAAAATGCTTAGAAAACCATTACTGATAGTGTTCTTTTTTTTCTTTTAATTTGATTTATATGCCGCCCTTCTCCGGAGACTCAGGGTGGCTTACAATGCGTTAAGCAATAGCCTTCATACTTTTGTATATTTATACAAAGTCAGCTTATTGCCCCCACAAACTGGGTCCTCATTTTACCTACCTTTGAAAGGATGGAAGGCTGAGTCAACCTTGAGCCTGGTGAGATTCGAACTTACAGTAATTGCAGACAGCTGATGTTAATCACAATGCTATCAGTCTGCTGAGCCACCAGGCTCTTCTTCAATTTACAGTATGTTCACTGGCTTCCAGTAATCACCCACCTAAAAATAGAACCATCTGAAATATTATTTTTTTTAAAAGGATTTAAAATGTTTCGAAACAGGAGGGGAGAAAATGTTGACAAATGTATCTGAAACTTAGGTGAGCCTACTTGATTCTGGTTTATCCTGAACTGAATCCTGATTTATATGTACTGAAGTTAAACCTGCTGTCCCCTTGTCTCTGCTTCCTAAAGAAGAGCAGCGAGTGACGTAATGGAGGAGGTCTGTTTGGAACAAGTTGCTGGCCTTAAGTTCTCCTATCAAGATCTCCTCTTTGGTAGGGCCTGGTTCTCGTAGGCTGTATAAATCTTGCCTGACACAATTGTTTCTTTTCCAGCCAAGTTATGAACATGGACCTTTTCTTTCTGGTGATTCTCTTTCTTGTAATTCCCCCCCCCCAAAGTGACTGAGGGGGAGACTGGTGTTGCTGTATGGGAGGAAGGAATAATACTTTAAAACTTTTGAATTCAGTTATTCTTCCAAATGGAAGTGTCCCAATATTTCTGTTCAAGCCATTTTCACTTCCTCCCTTCTTTCTTCAACTGTTCTTTTTACACTTCTCCTGTGAGCAGTTCCTTCTAGCCAAAAGTTCCACAAAGCCATTTTGATGCCAGCTTCAGTTCTGCTTCCTGGATCTCTCTTCATCATGCATACCTGAAGTGTAATGTAATGAAAAACTTACTCTGCAAGGAAACAGGCTAATTGTAGAAAAAGGAAAGGTGCTGATCATAGAGGTTCCTCTTCATTGAACCTCTATGGTATTGTAATTGATTGTGTCATCTGAGTAACATGAGAGCCAGTTTGATGTAATAGTTAAGGCATTGGGCTAGACACTTGGAGTTCTGGTCCTACCTTAGGTAGAGAGGCAGCTGGCTGATCTTGGGCCAGTCACATTGTCTCAGCCCTGGAAGTAGGCAATGGCAAACCGCTTCAAAAATCTTGCCTGGAAGACAGCAGGGACTGAGTTCAGGCAGTCAACAGGAATCAAAACTGATTTGAAGGCACAACATAAATAAATTGGAGTGATAGGTCATTAACAAAACTCTTTAATATTCCCCTTGGTATTTTATGACATTTGTCTCATGTAGAAAGCCATAGAAATAACTGAGAAAAATGGATCTATTGCAAATACATTCCTAGCTCTTTAATTTTCTCGTTCTTATTGACCAAGAACCTTTTCTTGTTGGAGCACTAATGAGCTTACTTTTTAATAGGGATATACAGTGCTTCAGATTTGAAGCCAAAACGGTGCTTTGGAGCTCATGTGGGCCTATATGTAATACCTGATGTAACTCCTTAATCCAAACATGTCTTTCCTGGAATTACTGACTGGCTGTGGAAAGCAAATGCATGATTCCAGGAAAAAGCACAGTTGTTTGAAGGAATTGCAGATAAGCGCTATATGAAAGACTCCCTCCACTATCTGAAACACCTTTTTATATTTGGATCTGAAGCGTAGATGAGCTGTACTTTTTAATCCCACTCTTAATGGCACTCCCCATCATTGTAAACTGAGGGCTAAGATGATGCATCACAAATAAAACCCTCCACCTTTTTCTGAGACTGGAAGCCCCCCTCTTCTCTCCCAGCCAATGCCCACTTTAACAATTCTCTGTAACTTTGGTAATTGCCAAGCTTCTCCAATAAAATGGAGAAACATTTCCATAGGTTCCTGGAGGGAATTGGGGTTGGATCTCTTCCCAACTAAAAATATTTTGAATTATCTTGACTCATTTCTCTTCATAAGGTTTTCAGGTAGCAGAATAGTTTTTCTTTTAAAAATGAATATCTAAAAAGGTTATTTTCAGCTGCAGCCACGTGCTAAATCTTTCTTGCTTATTTGTTTGGAATCAGCAGAACATTTTTACATGCCAGTGTTCATGAAATTTTACTAAATATTGATTTTAAGTATCTTAAGATTTTATGTATATGTAAAACATGTACACATGTACAACTCTGAACTTACTTAAAGTAAGTTTACTCATTTTTTAAAAACGCAAAGAGATAATCAATTACACCAATTTACAAGTTTAACAAATTCAAACATATATTGAAGTTAAACCATTATAAAATATATACAGAATAAAAATAATAAGGCAGTAACAAGAAAAGGCAGCAACAGAAGGTTAAAATTACAGCAGAATTATTATTAAAAGGCAGGCAGAATAAAAATGTTTTTACTTGGCACAAAAAAATAGCAAAGATGGTGCCAGGCGTACTTTACTGGGGAAAGCATTTCAAAGTTGGATGCTGCAACTGAAAAGGTAAGATTATATGCTCTAGCTTGGCCTACTCTGCCCACAAACTGGAATTCAATCCTGACAGGCTCGAGTTGACTCAGCCTTTCCATCCTTCCAAGGTTGGTAAAATGAGGACCTAGATTGTTGGGGGCAATATGCTGACTCTGTAAACCACTTAGAGAGGGCTGTAAAAGCACTAAGTGTTATAGCTAGGTGCTATACCTGAAACACACCTGAAACAGATCCTTTGCTTTGAGATGCCGTTGATCATGACCAAATTATCCATTTGAAACAAACAAGTAAATCAATCAATCTGGGTTTTCCCAGATTAAGTTCAGCATCTAACCAATCTGGCAGCTTTCAAAAAGCTAAGCAATGTCAGATCTGGATTAATACTTGAATGAGA